ATCCTCACGATAGACCAACTCATGTGTTCTAATGTATATGATACTCTACTGCGACCAATTCTTAACTGTGATGTCAGCCAATTGTGAGTGTTACTGTGTGTTCCATGCTTAGTTCAATCCCGTGTTGTTTAATAATACTTATAGTCTATAAGGTGAAACGCAATATCCATCCTTTATGTGACAGTCTAGATCTTAATGTGTCTTTGCCTATTGAGAATTCTGGCTCTACTAAACCTGTTTAGTCTGCTATGTTATGCTGATGTTTGTTGTCAATCCTGAGTTTGCTTTCCTACCCTGTCCTAGATTGTTATGTCAACCAAACTCATGCTTATGAAGTAATTTAGTCCATGCCTAACTTGTTACTCTTCTGGTATTGTTGTTCATGAGGACATGTTATTATGCATTTGTGATTCTATTGTGTGTATGCTGACTTGCTCAATCCTGCATTCCTTAGTACCAATTAAGACCTTGGGAATAAATCTTACTGCTGACCTTCTTTCACCACATATGGCCAAATAGTATTAGATTTGATGTTGGCTTCTCTTATTATCGAAGTTTGATATTGTCTCTTGTACTGTGATTAATATTCAGTATGATAACTTTTTCTTGTTAAGTAATTGCTCGACCACGAACCTATACTGTTAATTTCCGTGTTAAACTTACTATATTAAGGCAGTTCTCTATTGCTCCCTTTGCTTTCACGGTTAGATCCCCTGTTTGAAAATTGCCTTAAGCTGTTTTTGACCTTGTTAGTGTTTGAAACTTCATTTTAAAGAGTCTGTTATCCAGGATGATCAATTATGCCCCATAAAATGCAAGCATGAATTTGTCTTATGTCATATGATTTGTCCGTTTGTCTTAGTGAGAATTAGTACTACAGTCCTAAGAACTAAGTGTGTGGACTTCCTGCTCTATTTAATTAGTTCAACGCATAGTTTTTTTCTTGTGTGGTTGAGTTTGACATATAATTGGGATGTAAGTCATTCGTTTGTGCCTGGCGTTTGGTTATATATGTTGTTGGACTTGGCTGTTCGATTTAGACTTACTATACCGGTCTTATGAGCTGGGGATTTGGGTCTACTGGTCGTATGAAAGGGAGTTGTCGAAGGCCCAGAAAAGCACTGGGTTATTTTGTATTGGGCCTATCATTGGGCCTATAGTGTCTCTTTCTGTAACTGTTCATATTTGGTTTGCATTATTCCATTTGGGCTGTAATAACTTGTAATAACGAATAATGGGGAAATTAATAAAAAGAAGGTTGGGGTATTCTAATGTTTGCATAAAAGGGGTAGAAAACATGCATATAGGGTCTACGTGTTATGTTTGCTATCTCATTCAGCATGACTTATATGTTATTTCGTTTAGTATGTTGCATACTGATAGAAATCATGCCTATAGGGATTACACACACCTCACTCGTATACTGTTCAAGCATGTTAATCCAAAGTATTTGCCCCGCTTGTTTCTATGTTACTTCCGTACACTTAGACGACATGCCTATAAGGATAAAATATATAAAATCAATTTCAACTGTTAGAAATCATGCCTATAGGACACTGTCATCTGCCTAAGAAGTATGCCCATAAAATCAAAACTGATAATTCAAATTGTTTCACTGCCTTATTGTGCAAATAATTAAAGATCATGCATATAGGAGGTTACAATGCTTTAATTCTGCATATGCGTTAGGCTACAAGCTGCAGTACTACTTGTACAATGCTAAAATCAGCGTCACATAGAAGCTATGTCTATGGGACTTAATGACTCAAGAACGACTTAATTCTGAAACTGTCTACTGCATAACCTGAAATCTGTTTGGGTGCCTTTGTTGCTATGTGTGGAGGCTAGCTTGAGCCACTTATTGCCTTTATGTGTAGTCCTACGTGTTTTGAATGTTCGCTTAGTTTTGTCATTTTCAGCAGCCTAAGAAAAGTCTAGAACCACCTAAATAGTAGGTCCAAAGCCTCCTGGACCATAGGCATGGGACGAGTAGTGCACGCATAGGATGTGACCTAGAATTGAATTAAAGCGCCTTTAAGTAACAACTTTGATAATAGGTGAATTTAACTATAATTAGGCCCTAAAGAACCACCTTCTTGTATAGTTTTGATGATAAAAGTGATAACAAAATGCTCTGATTAGTTCTTTTCATGCTTTGCATGTGATATATGACAAGAGAAGGCTATGGAGTACTTTTGGGATCAAATATGGAGAAAAAGAGGCCAATCATAAAATTTTGCCAAGTGAACCAAGCGAAGCAGCTCAAGCCAGGCCTGAAGAAGGACTGCCGCGGTTCCACCGCGGTAGAAGACGGTCGCGGATAAGTTGAGATTCAGAGAAGGTGTGTGGCTGCGGTTTGACCGCGACCGCGGCAGAACCGCGGCAGAGGCGGAAAAGTTCAGGGACTTAAGCGCAAAACACGGGATTTTTAGCCCAAAACCCTATTTTAAATACTAGACTTCGCCCAAAGGAGGCAAGGATTGTATTGGAGAATATTTTAGCAAGGAAAACAATTGTGAGAGATCACCCAAAACATCTTTCTTCTTTTCTTTGATTTTTCTTGCAAGTTTTATGATGAATATTGTTTTAGTTTGTTTACCCATAGTTATGAGCAGCTAAATCTTTGTCTAAGATTTTGATGGAACCTATTGGGGGATGAACTTCTTGTTTATGTGAATACAAATTGCTAGTTCCAATCTCTATTTGTTCAACTATGTGTTTGTTGTAGTTAATTGACAGGATCCTCAATTAGCTGTGCCTATTTAGTGTGCATAACTCAGGAGAGAGTGCATATTTAGGTAATTGTTGAACAACACCACTCCCAAAGTATATGAGGGATCAATAACCGAGGGTTTAAAGGCGGGATTAGGGATAACGAAGCCTTGGGTGTAATCTAAAGTGAATTGTGTTAAATAAAGCAAGCTAGTGTATCTCGGGAGAGTGCAACTAGTAAATTACTGTGATTACTCGGGAGAGATTTACGGTAAGAAGAGCGTTCATGATTGATAGAAATGTGTTGGTAAATTTGTATGAAGCATAAACAGAAGGAATTCCATCAATAGGGGAAATCATTACCTTAGCACTTTCTCATTATTATTTACAGCTTAGCATCTTTAATTTGTAGCTATTAGTTACTGTTAATCTTAGTTATTAAAAATACCATCAACTGTGATTCTCAACGTTTGGGAAATTGATTCTAAAGAGCTTAGTAGGTCTAAAGATAGTGATTGATAGGTTAATTCTCTGTGGATTCGACTCTGGGCACAATACTCAGGTTATATTTGCAACGTCCGCATTGTCCTTTTTATAAGGCATAGTTGGGCGTGATCAAATTTTGGCGCCGTTGCCGGGGAGTTAACGGAATTATCAATTACCATTTATAGAAATACAAAAATTCTTAGTGTGGTCAGTTTTCTCTCTACCCAATTTTTCATTGAAATTTTGACGGTTGTTGATCTGGTCGCACAGGTGTATGCCTAGAAATTCTACGAGGACTGGAGAACTACTTGAAGGACTCTCAGATCCCGAGAAAACATTCCGAACATTGAACCGTGCCAACAAAAGACTTCAACAATCCCAACAAACACACAAATTCGAAATTGACATGGGAGACGTAAACGACCCCAACGGAAACGTCAGGAATGAGCAAGTTGGCTTAAATGCCAGAGAAGTGGCACCTCCTGTGCCTGAGGGTGCACTATATTACTGGGCACAACCCACAGCTGACAATCTGGCCACTGCCATTGTTGTGCCCGCAATACAAGCTGAATCGTTCCAGATCACAAATAACATGCTGCACTTGTTGCAAAACAAGGGACTCTTTTCTGGGACGCAAATAGAAGATCCTCAGCAGCACTTGAAGAACTTCCTGTCTATCTGCAAAACTCAAAGGCAACCCAACGTGACTCCGGAAGCAATCAGACTGTTATTGTTTCCATTCTCTGTGACAGGAGCTGCTCAGGTTTGGCTAAACTCACTCCCCATAAACTCTATAGAAACTTGGGATGAGTTAGTCAAGCAATTTCACAACAAGTTCCACCCGCCCAACAGAACTGCTCAACAAATTGATGAGATCGTGAGCTTCAAACAGAAACCAATGGAGACACTGCATGAGACATGGGGCAGGTTTAAAGGAATGTTGGTTATGTGTCCCCACCACGGTGTTCCAGAACAGATGTTGGGACAAAGGTTTTACATGGGACTGTCAGACAGCATGAAGAATATTGTGGATGCCTCAGCTGGTGGGGCATTCTTGAGCAAAACCTGGAGAGAAGGCCAAAATCTGCTTGACAAGATGGCACAGAATTCGGGGTGGACGACCAGGAATGCACCTATCACTCCAGTGGTGCACTCAGTGCCTCTTGATCCCTCAAATACCATGGCTGAAAATATGGCGACCCTCCTAACACAGATGAGCATACTCACCAAAAAGGTTGAGGAATCAGGGCAGAAACAGCAAGTACATATTGTAGACACTACCAACGGGGGCTTGTGCACATCTTGCATTAGCCAGCCAATTGGTAATACTTGGAACGCAGAACATGATCATCAGCATCAACACCCTGAGGACATGAACTATATGTCCAACTATGGAGGCCAGAGACAGGGCAATCAGAACTGGGGCCAGCAAAATCAGCAGCAATACAGGCCGGCGCAGCCACAGTTTAACACAGGAAACATGGGAGGTATGAGACCCCCCAACAATATGGCACCTTATCCCAGGCCAGGGTACAACAATCACAATCAACAGCAAGGGTATCATCCACCTCAGCAGCAGCATGGTGGAAGACAAGAAGATGGGTTTTCTAGATCGGAAGCAATGATGCAGCAGGTTATTGGGTCCAATGCCAAAATCAATGAGAGAGTAGATGCACATGATGCAGCAATCAAAAATATCGAAGTGCAAATGGGCCAGATTTCCATGTCTCTGAACAATCGTCCTCAAGGGACTACCTGCAGACACACAAATAAATCCAAAAGATTAGGGCCCAAAGTAGCTGATGGCGGTGAGTCTCCGTAATGGCAGGGATCTGGATGTAGAACAAGAGAGGGCTCGACAAAATATTCAGGATGGGACACTCATACCAGTGCCCGTTGAGCTGGATGAGACAACTAAACTGACAGAGGTGACAGCCCAGCCTGCACAAGAAGAAAAGAGCATTCAGCAGGAGACCGAGGAAGCAACTGACCCAGTTCAGGAGCCAGTAATTGAGATAGTAGCTGGTAAAGATCAGTCCCAAGTGATTGGGAAGAAGAGACCTCCTGTACCTTTCCCACAGAGGTTGGCCAAGCATCAAAAGGAGGAGCAATATAAGAAGTTCTTTGAAATGCTTAAACAAATCCAGGTGAATATACCATTGATCGAAGCTTTAAAGGAGATGCCTGGATATGCAAAAAATGATGAAGGACTTGATGTCCAGGAAGTTTGACTTTCAAGACTTGGCCACAGTTACACTTACTCAGACCTGTAGTGCAGTGGTGACTAGGCCAATTGCAGAAAAGCTGTCTGACCCAGGGAGCTTTACAATTCCGTGCACTATTGGAAATTTCGCCTTTGCTAAGGCGCTCTGTGATTTAGGGGCCAGCATTAATCTTATGCCTCTGGCTATTTATAAGAGGCTGGGCATTGGGAGAGCTAGACCCACCTCCATGTTGTTGCAGTTGGCCGACAGGACTGTGAAGCGTCCATTTGGTATCCTTGATGATGTGCTGATTCAGGTAGGGAAATTCGTGTTCCCTGCAGATTTTGTGATCTTGGATTGCAAAGTGGATGAAGAGATTCCTATAATCTTAGGAAGACCATTCTTGGCCCGGCTAAGGACGGGTAGATATATTTGGATAAGTGACTGAACCTCCCTAAGCACTTTTAATACAAACTTTCCTTTTTTTCAAATTTCCACTGTTTCAACCAATCGTTCTTTCCACATTTGTTATCTATTTGCCCCAATTTTCTTTAGTGCACTGGCCTTTTTTCCTCTTTTCTTTTCTCTTTTTTTTTAACAGCCATTGCACCATACAAGTATTCTTTCTGATTCCCCTTTTTCATCCCCTACACTCCCACACTTTGAACTTTGTATGTCTTTTAATAATTCAAGTCTTCTAGGGTACAGGTTCAAAAATCAATTGTGATTCAAAACACAGGATATAGGTCAATATAGGTTATCAAAAGAATAGGCTTCAGGCTCAAAAGGGTTAACTAGGCAATATATACAGGTGGATTCACATTATACAGCTATACAAAGAAGGCCTTCAATCATCTCCTAAAAACCAAACAACTCTATTTCGCTTTTGCAAACACACAGGGAATTCTATGTATTCGCATCAGAGCACAGAAGCAAGTAACAACTCACACACACTGGCAATGGTAACTCATACGAATCAGTTTATCAACACACTCCATAACGACTGTTCAAGCAAGACAAGATGTGCAAGATTAAGGCATCAAAGTATGAGTCTTACGAAACGACCTAACGTCGCACCCCTCCGTTCCGTTTTTGGTTAGTTCTCAGTGTGTACATTAGGTGATCTTAGCCCTTCACCATATTGGTCCTAAAACTACAAAAAAAAAATCTACCTAACCCGGTTCAAAAAGACATTGAAAACGAACGTGTGTTCAAAAAAAAACCAAAGGAAGAATTACTACACTACCTAATAAAAAGTAAAATAAAGAACTACATGACTACTTCCTTTTAAGATCACTGTCCAAGTGGTCATCCCAGAAAGAGTCCCTCTACATATTTTTTTATTCGACTTGACCCTCAAGAGACCTGTCGACAAGTGTCCTTCATTGGGCTCAGTCAGTTACTTCTAATGTGAGTTAATTATACACACGCAACATCACTCTAATACTAGACAACATATCAATGTCTAACATACACTACAAATACACTACTAGAGCAATCTCCCACCCCACACTCAAAATTATAGCATGGTCCCCAATGTCATAATCAAAAATAAAGAGCAGAAGGGTAAGAAACTTCCCTTGGCCTCCAATCAGAGTCGGAATGTGGCTGGTCAGCATTGCAAGCTCTCCCCAGACGCGGAACCAGGCCAATAACCGGCTTTCAAATCTGGACTGCCGCTCGACATGGCACAATACGTGTGTGTAGCCCTTCCACCGAGGTGGCAAGATCCGCGAACCTCTCCTCCATAGTAAACGGCCAGATAGGGCGGCGTGACTTGATCTGGATAAGCCAGCTCCAGCATGGCCACCGAAGGTCCGCACTGCATAATCTCCCTTGACTGGGCAGGGAACTGGGTCAATCCTCATCATCGATCTTGAATGTGTGGGCGTGCACCCCTGCCCACTCTATGCCGGAAGCTTTGAAAGCTGCTTTCTGGGCAACTCTACATCAGTAGGATTATGTGGACATTCTCAGCAGGCACAATGTAGTCACCAAGGAGGGAAGTTAGAATCCCTTTACCGCAGCGGGACCGTAATGATTCATTTCCAATCACAATTAGTTTTTTCCGCATCAAAATCTTCTTCTCGTGACAGCCCATGTCAAGAGGGCTCTTTGGAAGTTCATGTCGTCGATTCCTGAGGCAAGAACCGCTGCAAGATAACAGTGAGCCAAACACTTAGCCAAATGGGTGAAGAATTAGAGTTCAGGGTGATTTGTCACGTATGCCAGGTGGGTTGCCCCCCTGTGCAGAGTCATCAGTCATAGTCTCTCCAAGTGACTCCTGGTGCGGCCTGTAAATAGTCCGGTGTCACCAGTAAATTCAGGCAGCCGCAAACACTGAGCGAAATATTTGCAACTGGGCATCAACCATCGTGCCCTCAATCAATCACCCTCCGCCATGTGTTGCTGGGCAGGTTGGCGTAGAATTCTCTTACAATACATCCTGTTAGCGGTGTAGTTCATCAAATAAGAACTCCATTTCCCTCCTCCGGATCTCTTTCATACATCTTCTTCCTTCCTCGCCCGAGGCGCCCTGTCAATGCTGAATCTCAGGCATGAAGCTCTTTGAGGCCTTGGCATAAAGTCGTCCCTCATGCCAATTCTGATTCGAACCTGGAGTCATCTTGTGGGCTGTTGGGATATCCCGCCGAATCTCTTTTGCTTTCTTACGAGCATATTAACCTGCAAAAGAATTCAGAAGAAACATCAAAATGCATCCCTAATTAGTGCCGAGTCGTGATGGTACTCAGACTTCGCCAACCTGATTGGCATCAACCTTATCCTCCCATTTATGTCTTGCCTTCATACTATCACAACTAGCAGGGGTGTTGAAAGTTAAACCCTACAATGCTCTCACA